ATAAAAAGTTATACATTAAGTCACTTATTCTTATTAAGTCCATCACCTGCTTTAATACATCATTTCAAAACCCAACCCAAACCCACACCCATTTTCATAAAAGTCAAAAAGTGCACTTATTTAGTCTTCCCAAAACTAGGCTAAATAGTACTTCCTTCGTCGCAAAATATTAGTCCCTTATTTTATTTTTTTAGTTGTCCAAAATGTTAGTCCATTCAAAAACAAGTACAAAAATAATATAAATTTCTATGTTTGCCTTCTTAAATTAATAAATAATATAAAAAATACAAATTATTGACATGTATATTCCAAAAAATGTTACTATCAAAACGTAATTTGAAAAATCAATTTTTTTCCAAATGTAATAAATGTACTAACTAAAAAAGTTGAATCTCCAAAATGACCATTATTTTGGGACGGAAGGAATATATTATTAAAATAAATAATGTAAACATGTTTAATATTTTATTATTGTAAAAAAAATAAGAAAAATAAATAAATAAAACAAAAAAACAAACAGCGTCTAACACTATGTGTTGGATTATACTCAGTTTGTTTCAATTATTCAATAAACTTGGTAAATAGATAATCAGTCCATTTATAAATCCAAATAAAATACAAAAAGTTTTCCATTTGAATTTTCAGAGTTTTTGGCAATTACATATACACTGAGTGTTTATAAGAATGATGATACACCCAGTTATAAAACAATTTTCCTGGTAATTTTTGATCTTTAAACGACATGTCCCTAATTTATTATGCAAAAAAATAGAAATTACAATGGTGTTGTAAATTCCAACTCAGTATTTGTAATTCAACCTGCAGGGGTTAGTATTTCTTTTTTTTTTACCACCAACACTAGCCACCACCACCCACCAGTTTCCACCACCTCTCCGCCACCACCACCCACCACCCACCCGCCCACCACCACTTTGACACCACCACTCACACCCCCACTTACCACTTGCCACACACTCAGCCGGCCCACACTTCGCCGATTTACCCACCACCACCCACTCGACCACAACCCAACCCTTCGCCACCGCCACCACCACCCCACCGCCAGCTCGCCATTACCAACCCACACCCACCTGCTCACCCCACCACTTGCCTACTACCATCCACGCCCTGCACCACCACCCCCACCTAGCTTGCCACCATCACTCACCACCACCTGCAACCACCATCCACCACCAGACCACCCACCACCACCACCGTTGCCACCCTCCGCCACCACCTACCACCACTTCCATCCCACATCCCACCACCCAACCACCTACTACCAGCCGCCGTCACCCACCCACTCACTACCATCACCACCCACCACCACCCACTGACCATCCGCCACCACCTCACACCACCCACCTGCCCAACACCACCCACCACCGACTACTACCACCACCCACTCGCTACCACCCGTTACGTTCACCTTAACCCACCACCATCACCACCCACACTTATCCGCCACCACCACCACCACTCGCTATCCGCATCTACCTGCCACACCACCCGTTCCGCCGCCACCACCACACACCACCACCAGCCCACTCTGCTACCACCTGCCACCGTCACTCACCACTCACCTACTTACCACACCGCCCACATACCACCACCCACCACCATTACCACCCACTCGCTACCACCCACCATCACCAGCTACCCACCACCCACCGTCACCACTTTCCACCACCGTCTTCCGCCGTCACTTGTCATTTCTCACTTTTTTTTATATTTTTTAAATATTTTATCAATTACCAAACGTATTTGTAATTTATATTTTTTTTTGAAAATAAACAAAAATTAATTTATAAAATTTTTATAAATATAAACTGAAAATATAAACGGACTATATATTTGAAGGTATGGGTACGAGAGAGTGAGACGAGATAGAGAGAGGAGGAGAGTGTGAGAATGGAGAAGAAGTACGAGCAGTTCAAAGGGCAGTCGAGGCTCCCTAAATTCGCTGTCCCGAAACGTTACGATATCAACCTCAAACCGGACCTCGTCACCTGTAAGTTCGCCGGTGCCGTTGAAATCACCGTCGACGTCGTCACTGACACTAAGTTCATCGTCCTCAACGCCGTCGATTTCTCTGTTGACCGCAACTCCGTGCGCTTCACAGATCCCAGTGGCTCCAAGGTTTCGCTTCATCTATTTATTCTTCTTCTTCTCATTATTTTTTATAATTGTTGTTGTTGCTGTTGATGTCGATGTGAATCAATTGGGTATTATTATTTGAATGAGTTGTTGGTTTGTAATAGGTATCGGAGGTTTTGGGGGTTGAACTTTTCGAACAGGATGAGATCATGGTGGTGGAGTTTCCTCAGAATCTCCCGCTTGGACTTGGGGTTTTGTGCATTGCCTTTGAAGGAACCTTAAATGACAAAATGAAAGGCTTCTACAGAAGGTTTCTCTCCAACCATTCACCAAAATTTTCGTCTAATTTGATTCCAAATTTGAGTAAAAAGCTTGATTTGATATGAGGAGCTACAATCCTTTCATCAAAATCTTTTAAAAAATTATTTTTTCATCCCAAATTTCACTTTTCATCAATTTTGGTGAAAAAACCCCAGCTCCAATCCTTCATCATTTAACAATTTCATCAAATTTAAGTAGAAAAACGCTTGTTGGAAATCTGGTGAAAGATTTGGTTCATCCTTGATTTGATGAAAAATTTGCTTCTCCCTTGATTTGATGCCAGTTTGACGGAAGGATTGGATCTCATTTTCACCAAAAATTTCATCAAATTTAAATTTGACGAAGGATTTGGTGAAGGATTGGAGATGCTCCCCCCTCTCTCTATATATATACTAGCGGATGGTACGCGATGTGTGTACAATTCAAATAAGTAAAAATAAAAGAAAATAATATTATAATGTGTACTTCAAGTTTTCCTACGTTAAACCATGGTTATGGTTCAAGCCTTGCCCATCCTCTGTGTAACTTTTTATTTTTTTCAAAAGAAAATTAAAAAATGCGGCATGAGGTGAGCAAAAGGTTTCACTACACCAATTGAGGCCTTCACTTAATAATAGTATAGATTTGTGTACTAGTGGTTACACACACATGTTGTGTGTGTGTGTGTGTGCTCTGATGAAATCTACACCCCCAAGCAGTTGATAGATTTTTTGTTTGGTATGGCATTAACTGCTCTTGTGTTTGCTATTTTCAGAAATAAAAGAAAATGTTACAAAGCTACACTAACTAATTTGTAGGCTTCATATAATTGCAACTAGCGGTGGGTGTGCACACGAAGCGCATGCGAAAAACTATATATATATTATGATTAAAGAAGATGAATAGAAACTGACCGTAGTTGTGATTTTTAAATATCTGAATCAATTTTATTTTTTTACATGACATTTTTCAAACTCATTAATTGTTAGGGACAATTTGAAATTGGTAGTTATAGAAAGAAACCATGGGTGTGTTTAGAATCGGCAGTTATAGAAGGGTAATTTAGGAATAAAAAAAGATGTGACAAAATTGTTCCTACCAAGTAACCTGCGGACTTTATATATACTAGATGTTGTGCACCGATGGGTGTGCAATGATAAATCAACAATTTAGATAGAAAAAAAAAAAAAAAACTAAAATGTTACCAAAATTTGAAAATTTGGAAATAAATTGAAGTAGTTATAAAGGTAGTTGCACAGGTATAATTTGGGAATAGAAAAAAATGTGACTGCTTGCAACAAGAAAGGTGTGTACTTTACATAAATAGTATAGACTAGATGGTTTGCACACTCAATGGGTGTGCTATGAAAATTGACAATTTAGATGGAGGAAAAAAAAGCCTAAAAGTTATCCAAATTTGAAATTTGAAATCAAAATATGTAGTAGTTATATATAGGTAGTTTCATAGGGATAATTTGGGATTAGAGAAAATTGTGATGGTTCACACTAAGAAAGCTGTGTGCTTTACATAACACAATAGGTAGTCGAATAGATATTATATTATATATGTCAAACGGGGGTGTGAATGTGAGATGCCAGCAGAATGATCGGCCCAGACAGAGGTTAGGGCTGCATCCTTCCCACCTTATATAATATAATAGTATAGATAGTGTATATATATAGATAATATAGATATCTCTTCACTTGAATTCTCTGACATTTTCTGATACACAAAATTGTTTGTCCAGTTTTGACTTTTATCATATTCAAAACCTCTGTTATTTGTTACTTGCTGAATTTATTGAATAATGTTATTAAAGCAGTTCTGTACTTGGTAACCTCTCTCTATTATTTAATTATGAAATTTTATCAAAGTTAGTAGACAGTTATCTGTCCCCACCACTTAAAAGATGTTTGCTGATATACACTGTGGTCATTTGTAATTGTCACGGCTCGTATTTTCTATGTGAATGCTTAAGGAGTTTTTATCAATCTCACACACACATAAAGACATACAAAACTTTTTATTTTGTGATTTCTTTGGAGTATATTTAGGTTTTAATCTGCATGGGTAGTTGATGAAAGCATTTTTTTGGGTAAGCAAAAATTTATTACTAAAAAGATAAAATACAATGAAGCTTAACACATGCCTAAAGGAACACAAAAAAATAGTCAACCAGCCAACGCTCCCCAAGGAGTGATACGAAGCCTAGCCTAGAAAAGGAGAACCTCTCACAAGCCACAGAGACTAGGCTCCAAAAGAGAGAAAATACAATGAAGCCTAGAACACATCCTAAAGGAACACAAAAAGATAGTCAACTGACCAATGCCTCCCAAAGAGTGATACAAAGCCTAGCCAAGAAAAGGAGAACCTCTCGCAAGCTAGAGAGACTAGGCTCCAAAATAGAGAGCCTCATACAAACCTAAAGGTAAAGTCACTCCAACAAATTCATTACCAAGAGATGCACCAAAACATACCTTTCGAAACTCGAGACGAAGGTCAGGAATGTGACATCTTAGGTTTGGAATGTGCGGACACATACATACACATGGAGAAATTTATGGTTTACCTTATGTTGTATAATACTAAATGCTTGCTCTCCATTTCCTTCCCAAGAAAATGTGGGGAACTTATAAAGTTTTGAAAATTAAAATTTTCATTGGTACTTGTGTGGTAAAGCAAAGCTACTAATTGAGTCTCGTATTACTATCTATTGATTGTGTGAGTTTCCAATAAAGTAGAATGGCAAAACAGATCTGGATCTTTCTATAGTCGTGCTTTTATTTATTTATTTTTCCTGAAGTTGTTTGACAATCAACAAATGGTGAATGTCTATTGGTTGACATTTTAAAATTTGTGGATTTTATTTTAATCATGATTATTTTTCTTCAGTACTTACGCGCATTGTGGGGAGAAGAAGAACATGGCAGTGACACAGTTTGAACCAGCTGATGCTAGGCGGTGCTTTCCATGTTGGGATGAACCTGCTTGCAAGGTGCCAATTTCTTCAACGAGCATTTCCTTATGGATAAATATGAAAAAATATGTCTTTCCTTCTTTTGTACAAAAAATATGTAATTACACGGATGAAAGATCATTGTATGATAACGGAGCTCACTTTAACTTCCACTATAGTTCTATGTATCTCTGTGGCCTGCCTATTCAATCATGTATGACCGAAGTTTATTTTGTGAACCATATTCGCTAATCACAATCCCAACTATTATTCTGCTGCTATAAAATTAATAAAAGTACGATGACATAAAAAAAATGTTTTCAAGAAGAGGGAAGATGACTTAAACTTTTAAAGGATGTGAGATATTATTCCATTTCAAAAAGTTGAAGAGCCAGAAATATGAACCTCACTACTTTTCATGGAAAACCTTTTTAGGAAGAAAATGTGTAGAAAAACACAGTTTTAGCGCAATTAAAAGTTGAAATATGCTTCTTTTCATCTTCTCGTTGCATAATGAGGTGTTTACACTTTTCTACGTATTTATCAAAGAAATGTGATGTGTTTGTATTTGTATATAAATGAAGTGAATAATGAATATTTATTAGTTGGCCTTAATAGTTGACCAAATTTTGCTTAGGCTACATTCAAGATCACATTGGAAGTGCCATCTGAGCTCGTAGCTCTTTCCAATATGCCAGTTGTTGATGAAAATGTTGATGGAAAGATTAAGACAATTCACTATCAGGAATCGCCTGTCATGTCTACATATTTGGTGGCAGTTGTCATTGGTTTGTTCGATTATGTGGAAGATCATACATCTGATGGTATCATACACCATCTTCCATTCTTGCTTTAAACGAGTACATTACACAATGTAAACCTTAGTCTAATGTTCTTGGTATGTAGGGATCAAAGTTAGGGTTTATAGCCAAGTTGGTAAGGCAAATCAAGGGAAATTCGCTTTAGATGTTGCTGTCAAGACACTTGGCCTTTACAAAAGGTATGTTGCATTATTTGTTTATTGCACCAAAAAATAATTATTCCTTTTGTGTGAACTTCATCTAACAAATTGTCACATACTCATTGGTTTTTCAATAATATTTTTCATAGTGCTTTTTGTAATATTAAGTTATTGTTACGATATGTGTTATTCCCTATGTAGGTTTCTTTTTGTATTTTAAGCACTTTTAATATAAATATGATGGAAAGTTGTTCTCTTCTCATCTTGCTTCACATTGTTTTCTCTCTTTCTCTTGCAACATCTTTGACATTATTGTTCTTATTTTTAATTCTAACTTGGTATTAGATCAGAATTTTTTATTTTTATTTTTAATGCCTCGTTCTAGTCTTTTTCTTCTTTAGTTTTTATTTATTTATTTAATTTATTTATTTATTTTTATGTAAGAAAAAAAAATCCCAACATGATTGACTGGGGTGGTAGAGTACTCAAAAACTAGGCACATGCACATGGTGGTTTGTACTTTCTAGATGTTGCATTTCATCTCCACCACTTTTATTGTCCAATCAGGCTCTTCAACTAGCTATTAGTTCAACACTACAATTGTTACATCACTAACATTGCCTTTTATAGGTCAACCATAAGAAACTTTTTCCTAGGTTAGAGCTTGTTACTGTATTACATTTTTTTTTAATTTTTTTAATCTTTTTTGGGTCACACCGCTTCTCTACTTTTATAAACATCTTTTTGTAAAAAGTCAAAAAGTATACTTATTTAGGTCATTCCAAACAATTCGTTAGTAAAATATTGTCATTGGAGCCATTTTGTCTGTTATGCTTGTGAATTTGCGAAGCGTAAACGTTCTTTTTATTCTCCAGTTAATAGAAGAAACTTTCTTATTAAAAGTGAGTTTTTTTTTTTTTTTGGGTTTCAAAACATTTCATCTCATGGTGAGTACTCAGTTTGACACTAAAATTAAGATTTTTCACAGTGATAATGGCACTGAATATATTGATGGGGCCTTTTGCACTTTTCTTGATGACCTTGGAATTCTATTTTAGACAAGTTGTCTTGGCACTCCTAAATCGAATGGAGTTATTGAATGTAAGAATTGTTATATTCTTGAAGTAGCATTTTCTCCTTTGTTTACTATGAATTCCCAAGTCGTTTTGGGGCAACGCAATTTTCACTGGAACTTATCTTGTTAATTGCATGCCCTCTAGTGTTCTACAATATAAGACTCTTCTCGGGCTTCTTCTTGGAATTCCTTATGTTTCTACTCCTTTTCCAAAAATCTTCAATTGTGTTTGTTTTGTGCATTTTTCTAAACAACCTTATGGGAAGTTAGATTCTAGGGTTGTTCGATATGTCTTCATTGCGTATTCTGCTACCCAAAAAGGTTACAAATGTTATGACCCATGCACCTGCCAAGGCATTGTTAGAATGGATGTTACCTTAAGGTACCATGAATCATTCTTCTTGTTGTCCCAACATCTCTTCAGAAGGAGAGAGGTATATTATTAGGAACAAGAAGAGATGTTGAATCAAGAGCGTGGGTCTTTTGTTCATGTTCCCACTCTTTTTTAGGAAGATCCCACTCATAGTTAGGGGGAGAAAGATCAGACCACTGAGATTGAGAATGCGACGGAGAGTGATATCGGTGGAAGGTTGAATAAGGATGACCTGAAGACTATCTCAACATGTGAAAGATTAGGCTACTTGCGTGCCACCTTGTCAATCATTATCATCGGCTCTATACCTCTAGTTTTAGAATCCTCCATTCATCCATCTGGTAATGGTTCTTCTAATGTTATTTTGATAATTCTGATAATTTCTAATTTATCAAAAAAAATAATTCTGATAATTTCTATTGCTCTTAGAAAAGGTGTTAGGAAATTTACCCAACATCCCATAACTTTGTTTAATGTGATTCCTTATCTCCTTTATATCGTGTTTTTGTTTCATCCATGTCATCTATAACTGCTCCATAGAGTTGGAAGGTGGTTGTTAGAGGCCCAAAGTGGAAAGGGACTATGGTAGAGGAGATGACAACACTGAAAAAGAATGACACCTTGGAGCTAGTATCCCTTCCAGATGGGATGAAATTGGTGGGATGTAAATGGTTCATACTTATGGTACCTTTGCCCCTATAACAAAGATGAACTCTATTTGTGTGCTTATCTCCTATATTGCTAATCTGGGATGAACTCTTCAACAGTTAGATGTTAAGAATGCTTTTTACATGGAGATTTGGAGGGAGAGGTATATGTGGATGTTCCACTGGATTTTCATCTTAAGTAACCAAAGGAAGGGGGTGTGGGTTGAATAAGGCATTTTATGGATTGAAGCAATCACCTAAAGCCTGGTTTGATAGATTTCTTAGGGCTATGCTGAGATTTGGATATAGAAAAGCCATGCAAATCATACTCTGTTTATCAAGCGCAGTGGTGACAAGATTATTTTTTTTATTATATATGTTGGTATAGTGGTGATAGGAGATAGTGTGGAGGAAGTGTGTCATCTCAAAGCATAACTAGCCCAGGAATTTGAGATTAAAGATTTAGGGTCATTGAAATAGTTTCTTGGGATTGAGGTTGCTAGATCAGATAGAGGCTTTTTCCTTTCCAAAAAGAAGTATATTCTTGACCTCTTAGAAGAAGAGACAGTGATATTTGGCTGTAGACTTGCGGACTCTTCTATTGGGGCTAACCATCATCTTAGTAGTGCAGGGAAGCCTGTAGATAAGGAAAGGAATCAGAGACGCATAGGGATATTGATATATTTGTCTCATACCAGGCTAGATATTTTGCATATGCTGTGTGGAAGTTACTAGTTAGTTTATGCATGACCCTTGTACAGTGCATCTTGATGCAGTTTACTAGATTTTGAGGTATCTCAAGTCAGTTCCAAGGAAAGGGATATTATTTTCCAATCATGGTCATTTGAGATTTGGAGCATCATTTGATGGAGGCTGGGCAGGCTAGTTGATGATAAACAGTCTACTTCTGGTTATTGTACCTTTCTAAGAGGGAATTTGGTTACTTGGAGGAGTAAAAAGCAGGCTGTGGTTGCTTAATCTAGTGCTGAATCTGAATATAGAGCCATATAGCTCATGGTATTTGTGAACTTATATGGCTTCAAATATTATTGAAGAATTTAGGGTTACTTGATGCCAGTCTTATAAAGCTGTATTGTGACAACCAAGTTACCATCAATATTGCTCATAATTTAGTTTAACATGATAGAACAAAACATATTGAGATTAATAGACACTTCATTGAGAAAAAGTTGAGAAGAGTCTAATCTGTGTACCCTTTGTAAGGTTTGAAGATCAGCTAGTTGATGTGTTTACAAAGGGGCTTAAAAGTAAGGTTTTTCACTACATTGTGTGCAGGTTGGTGAATAGATAAGTGTCACACCCTTTGATCCAGAGATCCGGAGTCATAAACAGGAACAATAACCTAAGGTGACAGGTGGCAAATCCTTTGGAAAGTTTCATTTACTAATTAAATATCGAAAGTGATGTGACTCTTTTTGAACACCTTTATTTCCAATTTAAGACTAAATATAATTTCCATGGCCTGGTCCATTAACCTTACACCTACCCTGTACAAGCATACATACAAACATTTTTTCAAATAGTCTACATAAAGAGTTTAAGTTCAAGTTTTCATACATTTTAAGGCTTACAAACCAAGCCATCTAAATAAAATAAATACGTAAGTCTGACAAGAAAAGAAAATATTCGGGACAGCCCATAATGGCTTCAAATTTCATGAGTTGGGGTGGGAACCCCATCTGGAGTGAGTACTATCCCACACCCTTCTTTTCTGAAAATAAGTGAAACATACAAGAAATTACAATATTAAGAGAGTAACATTACTATATATTGCAAACGAATTATCTAAGTGTAAAAATGACTCTGCAAGCCTCAACCAAGCTCAATGTGGTCCCCTCTGCCCATTTCCTGAAAAGGAAGGGGTGAGCTAACAAGTCCACTAGAGAATAATCTTCTATAAACTTATATGCTAATATGGTGCACAGTGGTGTCGGGTGTGCAGATAATCTCAGTGTCAAATTAACACATAATGGGAGTCCCAAGTTACCAACTAGGATACTAATAATGAGATATGCTAATTTATTGAACATGGATGATGCCTGTGCATGAAATACAACAATTAAATAAAATGAAATCAACATTCAATTAATTCTTGATTAGAGTTCCGTGGTTTCTCAAACACACGTGCAAAACCCAACACACACACCTTGGTTTGTGTGACATCATTTTCATGCACTTTCTCTGAGGAGAAGTCATGTGACATTCCTGCTTTCTCCAATTGGGGAAGGACTTGTTGTCCCTTTGGCCAAGTTATGGGATTTTCACCCTAGAGCCTGTAACCCAAGTTTAATTCCACAAACCTACACACACCAAAAATTCCTACCACACCAAATTGTTCCAATATAAAAACTCAGACCCATGCATGGTCTATGCAATTTTATTTAATAGATTCCTCATTAAGAGTGATGTCAAATAGCTCAATGACACAAGCATGTGGTCTCATAGATATGTTCTAGCAATAATACTGACGTGAATGATAATTTCTAGAATCTCACCAAAAACCCTTAGGCAAACAAGAAGGGGTTTTCCACCAAAAGTGTTTCAAGCACAAATTCAACCAACAACAACAGCAACCAAGCTAACACCGATTTCATCAATAAGTCATAGAATGCAAACAACATGATCTCATACACTTTAAAACCTAACCTTTGCATGGTAGACAACAATGTGTTGTAAATAAATCTAGAGGAAAGTATAATAACATATAAGGGAGAGAAGATTTATCCAACCAAAAAAAAAAAAAAAAAAAAAAAAAACAATTTAAAACATGATAAAAAAAAAATATAAGAGAGAGAAGAGAACCCCCTACCTCAAGGACGGATAAAAAAGAGAGAAACCCTAGAAATGGAACTTCACCGAAATGGAATTTCAAAATGGCACTTGAAACCTAACCCTAGCATGGTAGACAACAATGTGTTGTGAAGAAATCTAGAGGAAAGCATAGTAACATAAGAGAGAGAAGAGAACCTCCTACCTCAAGGACAGAGAAAAGAGAGAAGCTCAAGAAATGGAACTTCACCAAAACGGAATTTCAGAATCGTAAGAGAATGTAGCCTTCGCCAAGATCTATGACTTTAAAGCTCGGATGGAAGCTTGGTTCTCACTCTATTTAGATCAATTCTAAGCTCTAAGTTGGTTAGCAATAGTGGAGTGTAGAAAGAAAGAGAAATATAAAGAGAGTTTGTTGTAAAAAGTGCTGGGTCTAGGCTGAAAAATCGTGCATAAGTTCAGAGGGACAGTGATGGGGAGTGGGCCACATCGCTCGAAGTGGTTTGAAATTTGTTGCACCGCTCAAGCGCTAAAACCAGTGCTCCCACTGATTTCTTAGCTTCTGCACTCAGTTGCAGAAGGAGATGTTGCAAGGAGCATATGGCCACTCGAGTGCTAAAACCAGCGCTCGTGCGGTGAACGCAAGTTCATAGGAAAATTTCTGCGGCAAAAATTCTTGAAAGTTGTTCAAGATTGCTCGAGTGGTAAAATCATCGCTGGAGCAAACACTTAGGTCTTCTAATGTATAAACTAAGTGAGAAACCCAATTCAAAACGACAACAACTGCCACTAACGAGGGAAATGAAACACAACGTAATAATTTAAATAAACGAGGTTCAATTGTATCCTTACAACCTCGGGAGCACAAAATACAAATAGTCTGAACCGGGAGATATATAGAATAAAATAAGGTTTCAGAAACCTTGGATGCTACAATAAGTGTGCAAATTGGGCATGAGAGATGTCTATGTACTAACTTGAAGGGAAGCGTTGTGCTATTTGTTATTTCCTATGTAGGGTTAGTTTTGTATTTTATTATAAATATGATGGAGTGAGGGAGAGAACCCCAAGTTGCTTTCTTCTCTTGTTGCTTCATATTGTTTTCTTTCTTTTTCAACATATTCTACGTTATTGTTCTTATCTCTAATTATAATTGTTATCAACTATTATTTTCTCTAAGGTGCTTCTGTAACATCTCCATATATACATTTTTTGATTTACTAGTTGAAGTTTTGCAGTTACTTTGCTGTGCCATATTCACTTCCCAAATTGGATATGGTTGCGATCCCTGATTTTGCTGCTGGAGCCATGGAGAATTATGGTCTAGTTACATATCGTGAAACAGCTTTGCTCTATGATGATAAGCATTCTGCAGCTGCTAACAAGCAGAGGGTAATGTGCATATGTTGAAAGTATATCTGGATTCCTGAATATTTCAAATATTACATGGATTTGTCTTGCTCATGTTTTCATCAATCAACCTGATGAATTTTTTATGATGTCATTGGCTTAGGTTGCAACTGTTGTGGCCCATGAACTTGCGCACCAGTGGTTTGGCAATCTTGTAACGATGGAATGGTGGACTCATCTTTGGCTGAATGAGGGATTTGCAACATGGGTATTTCACTTTGGTTGATTTGTGCTTTTATTGTTCTTTTATTACAGTACATAGTTTGTTACTCATGTGTAAAGGGCTTCTTTTGTCCAGGTGAGCTATTTAGCAACTGATAGCTTGTTTCCAGAATGGAAAATTTGGACACAATTTCTTGATGAAAGTGCTGAGGGCCTTCGCTTGGATGGGCTTGCAGAATCACATCCCATTGAGGCATGGTGTCTACTTAAAGGATTCAGTATCGTTACTTCTGATTAATTTATTATTCAGAATTATGTATACCCAAAAGCTTGATTTGGAGCATATTTTTCTTTCCAGGTGGAGATAAATCATGCATGTGAGATTGATGAAATATTTGATGCAATTAGTTATAGGAAAGGTGCATCTGTTATCCGCATGCTGCAAAGCTATCTTGGTCCTGAGTGTTTTCAGGTTGGTCTTTTGGTTTCTTAGTATGTCATTTCACCTTAATTCTTAATGTTTTCACGTTTAGTTTGGTACTCTTCTTTATTGCATGGGTAGGATAGGATCCTGCTCCTCAATGTATAAAGCTAGATAACTTATTGGAAGAGCTCCCTTTTCTCTCTTCTTCTTTCCTAACCTCTTTCTCTTGTGTTATATCTCTTCTCATTTTCTCTCCTCTTATTCTTATCTCCTGCCTTCTCTCTCTGTCTCAGTTCTGTCTTTTTTCCCCCCCCTTTCATCTCTCCTTTTCTCATCCTTCCTATTTTATCTCTACCTCAACATATATCACATAGGTCCAAAAATAGAAAATAGAAATAAATAAATCAGCAAACTGTATTTGCTCACCACCTGTTCAAAGGAAGTCTTGTGAGAGTCAGCATACATTAGCACCTTTGTTATCAGTTATTTTTTTTCAGCAATTATACAAATTTGCTTTTTGGACAACTCTTGGCTATGCCTGTGTATCCTAATGTTTAGGAATTTGAAGGATTTGGTGCTGAGACCTTCAGCAAACATGGTTAACCCCAAGTCTGTGCGACATAGGTGATCATGATAGCTGCACATATCTTTTGAATTTGATTGATAGAGGGGTATATTAAGGACAGAAGCATATGTCAGATAATAACTGATGCCTGCTTGTGTTGATTTCTTGAAGAAAATGAGAAGAATACTGTTATTCATTGCTGATTTTGTTGTGCTTTTCAGTGTTACTCGAGTCCCTTAATTTGTTCCTTGCATTGTCTGAGTCTAATCCTTTTTCTTTACATATTGTTTTTTTCTGAACAGTAACATACTTTTTTTTTGGGTGATTTCAGAGGGCACTTGCTTCATATATTAAAAAATATGCTTGCTCAAATGCAAAGACAGAAGACTTGTGGACTGTCCTCGAAGAGGAATCTGGTGAACCCGTGAACAATCTGATGAATTCATGGACAAAGCAAAAGGGTTACCCCGTTGTCTCTGTCAAAGTCAAAGATCAAAACTTGGAGTTTGAGCAGGTTCCTTGTTACTGCATTGACTTCTGAAAATTAGAACCTTTAACTAGACATCTCTTGACTGGATTGCGAAGCTATTTGTTACATCGTGTGTGAACTTCATAGGAAATTTGAGGTAATTCTAATGATGTGTATATAATTTAATGGCAGTCGCAATTCTTGCTGAGTGGTTCCTGTGAGGATGGGCAATGGATTGTTCCAATAACGTTATGTTGTGGCTCATATGATACTTGCAAGAATTTTCTGTTGCAAGTGAAATCTGAAACTCTGGATGTAAAGGAATTCATTGGTTCCAAAGATAACCTTGTGGAGACAAGAGCTTGGATAAAACTTAATGTGGACCAGGCAGGTTTCTATAGGGTGAAATATGATGAAGGGCTTGCAAGCAGACTTAGATATGCAATAGAGACCAAATGCTTATCTGCAACAGATAGATTTGGTAATTTTATTGCTCTTACTTATACTTTTATCATTTTAACGTTCAAGAATAGTAGTTAACGTTAAGATATTCTTTCCAACAGGAATTTTGGATGATTCGTATGCCTTATGCATGGCATGCCAGCAGCCTTTGGCCTCCTTGCTTACCTTGATGGGTGCTTACAGGAAGGAACTTGAGTACACTGTTCTGTCTAACTTGATTAGCGTAATGCTCACCATATTATGCATTTTTTATTTTCATTCAACCCTTCAACCAAGCCTTTGGTCCTAATTTCAAAATTTTGTTTTCACAGATAAGTTTCAAAATTGCAAGAATTGCAGCTGATGCCGCTCCTGAATTGCTGGAGTACATTAAACAATTTTTCATTAGCCTGTTCCAGTATTCTGCAGAGTTAGTTCCTTACGTTATGAACTTCTGGATTAGCTTCATCTCAGAATTTAGGGCAATCTTAGAACACACTAAGCAATATAAAGCCATGTAGTGCTGCTCTGCCTAGTGGATTCATGAATTAATTGTTATCGAGATGTTAGTTGCATTACTTCCCCCTCCCCCCAACCAAATATACATATTTATACACACAAGGGGCAAGATCATCCTGATGCAAGGCTGCTTTAGAAAATTTGAGTTAATGCTGCCTACAATAGGTATTGTAGTGGGTTTTGGTTGTAGAAAGCTTCTTGTGTTAAGGTTCTAAGAGGGAGAAGAAGGTTTCTAGGGTTAAGAGATGAATATATGCAATTTTTGGTTTGATTTTAAAAGTGGCAGCATCCTGGATTTTCGGACTCGTGGCTGTTAAGGGCTTGAACGGTGAGTAATTTAGGGTTTAATTGCTAATATTCAAGGCTAATTGGCAGGAGAATGAATTAGGGTTGATTTGGGCATTTAATGTATTGGCTATGATTGTGGGGTTGCAAATACACTTTTTGAGGGTTGTGAACAGTAACGCAAGCATTGTGCTTGGGTTAATCGTGAACAGAGGTGCTTGACCCTCACAAGGGTTAGGTAAATATACACAAGCACAATCAAATTCTCATAACATCAACTCTGTCTTGAAAATGAAATTACATGAAGAAGTAGAAGGAAAAGAAGAAGAAAAGAGGTGCTTGACCCTCAATTAGACAAATTTACACAAACACAATTTCAATACCAATGAAGAAGAGAAGGAAAATGCTAGACTCTTGCAAGGGTTAGGCCTAAGAAGCACGGACATTTCTATGGAGGAGGTTGTTGTGTTAGACACGACACTTTGCGGACACTCCAAACAGCGTGATTGACACTTCTTGAACATGTCTTAATTAAGCAACATTTTACATTCATAATATCGGACTCTTTATAGATACGTCTTGGACACTTCAACTAAACTTCTGAGCCCTCCAGACTTAGCCTACGTTATGAATCTGGTTCCTATTAAATTTCACTTTTTGAATCTTTCTAGTGGAGAGATTGGGAGAGAAAAGAAATGGAGTGATTACAAACTTTTTATACTACCAAATTTTTCTATCCAGGTACTAAAGAAATAAAAACATAAAAGGTTATTTTAATAATATAATTTGTAATAGTTTATTTTCTTTTCTTGTATATAGTCTATCCAAACAAGATAGGAGAAAAATCACAATTTTTTTTTTCTTCTCTCTAGCTTAACCAAACAAGAGGGAAAGAAAACACAATCTTCTTTTCTTTTAAACCCCAATTATAATGGTATAGGTGTAATTTTTATTCTACTTTAGCACACAACATACTACACTGCTAGAGTATGTTCTTTATGATGTGTCAAGGTTTTGAAAAGCGGTTGCGGTTGCGGTTGTGGTTGCGGGGTGTAAAGGCCATAGCGTAACGGTTGCGGTAACCAGAACCGTGAATTTTTTTATTTTTTGCACAATTTGAAAAAAATTTACCGATAAGCATATTTTTTTTCTATGATTATATTTATTGGGTTTAAAATAAATATTGATCAATTTTTGTAAATTTTTAAGTATGATCCTATATATTTTATATTTTAAATCACTATAAATTGAGTTTTTTATATTTTATTTTAATAATTATTGACTTTATATTATACAAAAAAATCAATCACTAACTATTATATATAAGATAAACAATGACAAAAGTAAGAAAATAAATAAGAGCCTAAATATATATATATATACATATTTTGACCAAGCCAAATAGATAATGATCACACTTATTATTGTTATTATTATTATTATTATTTTTAAACAATATATAGATGGACACACACAAACAAACAAACAAAATGGTTGAGTGATAGTAGCTGAATAAAATAGCATAGGTTTTATAGCTTCAACAAATCAATAACATGTTCTTCATCTTCCCTCTTCTCTCTATCTCTATCTCTTGCTCCTTCATCTTCTTTCTTTATCTTCCCTCTTCTCTCTATCCCTCTTCCCCCATTTTCAGCCTTTTTTTTTTGTGTGTTTTTTGGAAAGAAATAGTTCGAAACTGTTATGTAACGGTGCGTAACAGGCCGTTACGGCTGTTACGGCACTGTTACGACCGACACACCTGTGAATCTCAATCACACTGCAAAAGCAGCCGTAACGGGTGGCGGTAACCACCACAACCGTTACGTAACGGCATTACGCAACGGTTGCGGCCGCTTTTTTAAAACCTTTTGTACTATTTTAGCACTACTCCTCCTAAACACTACACTATTGTGGAGTTGCTCTTACACCTCTTCAATTCTATGTGGGGCTTCTATTTCTCTAGGGCTAATGTCCAATTGTATTAAAGTATGAACCTGCCATGCTCATGATGTACTAAATATCGGTTAGATTGGAGGCTAGTGGCTCTTCCATACATACATTGTTCCAATTCAAGTTATAGTTTTACATATTTATTTGAGTTTATGAACTTACATGGTTAAAGATTTTAGATCCATGTGATATTCGGCATGCAGGATATACATGAGATATGTGTTCATTATTAGGTCTTGTTTTGGACCCAATAAATTTTTATTATTCGCTGTTTATATTGATATTTATATCTCTTATAGTTTGTAGGATTGGAATCATTAAGAGAAAAACATTTTGAAGTCATGCAGAAGTACAATTTCATGCTCAACAAGATCACCATATATTTTATTATTATGAACTATGAAGTTGTTAGAAGGCTAACTTTAAGTGTCTGTTCTTTAATAACTATGATATATATATTGATTAGTAAAATCTATGAAATATTTTTAATCACATTAGAACAATTTTGGAAGTAATAAATCTACAAAATTTACTAATAATTAGAGGGCTACTAGAAAATAATAGAAAGTTATTATAGTGGTGTTCACGTCCAAATAGAAATTGGATTGTAGATGACATGATATGTCACTGAATAGAAGAGTTTAATGATGCTGATTACTTGTTTCATATCTGTAAATAAAGATTTCAAAAAAAAGAATGGAAGCAAAGTTTATTATTCCAATATTGCATGGGGAAGGTCCTCGAGTCCTTTGAAACTCTTGAACAATTAAATCTGCACTCTGCTGTGAAATTTATAAGATTGTTATTACAAGCCAAGTTTTATGCCAGATTCATATAGGCATTTCTGTTGTCAGGCATTGTTATTGATGGCATTTATTTGATGCATGCATTTAGTGACTGATCTATGATTCTAACCAGCTTTGCTACTGTAGTTTATATGATTATCTCAATTATCTGATTTGTACTACAGACCCTAAGAGCAAGCTCTGTTCAATTTTCCAATGCAAAATTAGTTTTCACCTTTTTATTTCTTTTATTTTTAATTTTCTGATGATATAAGTGTCTTTTCAGAAAACTTGGTTGGGATCCTAAACAAGGTGAGAGCCACTTAGATGCCATGTTGAGAGGGGAGCTTTTGACTGCCCTGGCCCAGTTTGGACATGATGTTACACAAAATGAAGCAAGGAGGCGTTTTGATGCATTCTTAAATGATAAAAATACACCACTTCTCCCGCCTGACATAAGAAAGGTACATAAAAACGGTTTACTTTGAATTCATCTATTTTTAGAGTTTTGCATGTGTGCTTTATTGCCTTTCATTTTGCAGGCAGCATATGTGGCGGTGATGCAAAATGTCAGCACATCAAATAGGTCGGGTTATGAATTACTTTTGAAGGTCTACAGAGAAACTGACCAGAGCCAGGAGAAAACACGAATTCTAGGTAATAACAATTTATTTGTTTGAATGACAATTGAAATATATATGTCTTTAGTACAAGTTTCACAATTAGACTCCCTTGAATGTTTTTAGGTTCTTTAGCTTGTTGTTCAGATCCAGATATTGTGCTTGAAGTTCTCAACTTTTTGTTGTCTCCTGAGGTATCTTGGTTTTTGTTTTCCACATTAATTATGATGAAGGATTTATAAGCCATGATTTCTTGAAGCTTGATGGTGCTGAGTTTGTTTGTTTGTTTGTATATTTAGGTTCGCAGCCAAGATGCTGTTTATGGAATTCATGTTAATATAGAAGGGCGTGAAACTGCTTGGAGGTGGCTGAAGGTAATTTTGATCTTATATTTATTTGATAAAACACTATCAGAAAAGTTGTTGGTTTAAAGTTATAACCTGCATGGTATTCACATATTGTAGAGGACAACATTCCAATGAGTCATCATGAAACTTGGAAAAAGTGCTTTAAACAGAAATTATAAAAAAAAAGGTGAGTGAATGTAAGGAGATGTGTGGAAAGGTTGAGTAGGTGGTCATGGCAAAACACTGGAGACCCAGGTGAGTGAGTGATTTGGAGAGAGATCCAGCCAAGAGAAAGATAATCACTGCAGATTTAGGACTCAAAAGTGTAGAGCTTAGGGAAGATCTCAATCTCAAAATTGATGTATTCCTTACCACGATGCATGGAAAGTGACACCTTATATGTATACATATATAGAAGGTGAGAACGTAGCCATAACCAACTGTTTGGGACGGTCGTGTGTTTGTTGTTAATTTGATAGAGGAGAGAGGAAAATCTATGTATTCAAAAATATTTTATGATGAAAGAGACTCAAATAATTGGCTTGACATGTATTTATAATAAAATAAAATTCTAAAACCTAACCTAATAGAAAAGGAAATTTTTACACATGACTCTTTATCTAGTAAAAAATTTAGAACTCCATGGAAGACGGAAGAAAATCTATATATTTAGGATGAAAGAGACTGCAATAATGGGCTTTACATTTATTTATAATAAAATAAAATCTAAAACCTAACCTAATAAAAAAGGAATTTTTACTCGACTTCCTGTATCTTGGAAGGTTCTGTGTGCACTGAAGCGGAGCTGGGAGAGTGCTTCCGTATTTGCAATATTACTTGTAATATTTTTTTTTCCTTCACTTCATGTTGCACACACTGTCGGCAAGAGGGGAGTTTAGGCAATTCCTGCATTGCATCCAATCTGTATGATGCTAATAGTGGCACCAAAGTGCCCTTCTCACGTGACACATACATTACCAGTTGTGACCCACCATTAATTCATTCCCATGATTACCTTTCCCACGCTCTTGAATTTTATCTTAATTTTCAGATTAATCCCTACAAAAATAAAATTAATCCATTAAACTTGCATTTGAAAATAAAGTGAGAGAATTAACATAATAACAATGCATTCATATTATAGAATAATGAAATAACTACACACTTTCAAACATTCATCATTGTTCATATGATATAATAATCACCATGGTTAAGTCATAGGACCCACGGTATAACCAAAGCGGTATTGAAGTTTGTGGTTTAACCACTGCTATAGTGAGTTGGTGAGCTATTAAAAGGTCTAGGATATAGGTACATACAAAGTGTTGTAGGTTCTTATTAAAAAGTCTATTACATAGAAAATTTGAAAAATGTATGACATCACACGTGGGAGACACACAATGTATAGTTTGATATATGTATTATATATTATATAAAAGGATAAACAACTGTTATATGACATATATGAATATGTAATTCAAAGATAAAAACAAAATGCAATATAACACCAATTTCTGAAGTCCAAAGAGGAATACATATCAATTTACAGTTTTTTTAATCATTGGATTACAAGTTATTTTATTTCAAACTTGTACTGTGTTTCATGTCTCTAAGCGATAGACATTTGTTCCCCAAGTGTCTAAAAACATAACCAAGTCTACAAATATATATATATATAATATGTATATATATATATATTTTTTTTCCAAATAAAGAAAAAAGTAAGACATGCTTGGATGTGTGTCCGACAAATGTTGAGAAATGTTCAATGAGTGCATGACACGCCACCTTCTTAGTTAGAAGTGTATGTGCTTCGTAGTATGTAGATTTATACTGTAAATGATACAGAAGTTTTTCCTCCATCTGGCTCTGTACTCGGTAGTTTCATTCATTAAACCTAAACCCTGTTATAATATTTGACTTATTGAAAGATAGCTCAAGTGCTATTTCATGCCATTAGAAATCAATGTTAGGGTAAACGCAATGAACCCTTTGAATTTTTATGCCCAAGGTTGAAAATGAAGCGATTGGGTAAGAGGGCTTAGTGAGGCTAGAGGGAAGTAAACTTCTCCATGAAGAGCTGCAGGTGAACTTTTTTGATTAACTAAAGTACGAAATTTGGAATAGGTGGTTATAATTTACCTGGAATAACATTAGCTAAGGTGAATCTGTTGGAAGTTCTTTAGGCCATTATCAAGTTTCAAACTTGGAATAGGTTGAATGTTTCTGTAGAATAGCTTGAGCTACCATGAAAATCTTCAAATTTAAATAATGAAGACAGCTACGACTAAATTTTTTATGTTAAATGATATCATTATGAGCATTATAGGCCAACTACCTGGTTGATTTCTCAACTTGAGGTTAAAGTCCCTTTTGTTGTTTTCTTGAAGAGAAATTTTAGAAAGTGGGAAATAAAAAAATAAGCAAGTTTTTCTGTAGAAAACCTGTATTGTGACTCTAATCATTTTCTTGTTTCCTCTTGTAGTTTGTACTTGTTCTTGCTACACCTTTTATTTGTATATTCTAAATGAAGAACATATTATGTTTTGAGGCTTTACACTGCAGTTATTTCCTCATTGGAAAATGACAGTGTCATCAATTAGTAGTGATATTTTTAGTTTTAGACGAGTTGTTACTGGAGATATGCTACAAAGAAGTTTAAAATGTATATTCGTCATCTTATGGTTTATCCTTCTTTTAATGACAGGACAATTGGGATCACATCTCAAAAACTTGGGGTTCTGGATTTTTAATCACACGCTTTGTCAGTGCCATTGTGTCACCGGTTTGCCTCTCTCTCTTACTCTCTCCAAACACTTAGTTCCTTGAACTGCCTTTTTTTATTTGTTTATTTGAGTACACATCTTATCTCTTTAATCAATTCGCATCTATATTGAAGTATGAGTGATATTTGATTCCTCACCCCATCCCTTTTTCCCATTTGTCTTAGTTTTCTTCTTGCGAGAAAGCGTGTGAAGTGGAGGAGTTTTTTGCAAGCCGTGCTAAGCCTTCAATTTCAAGGACCCTGAAGCAGAGTGTTGAGCGGGTTCACATTAATGCAAAGTGGGTTCAGAGCATTCAGAATGAGAAACATCTAGCAGAGGTTGTACAAGAGTTAGCACACAGGAAACACTAGGAGACGGTTTTGTTTAGCCTGCCTCAACTCACTTGGATATTAAAGTATGTGTTGTTCAGAGCAGTACTTTAACAACCCAAAATCAACTGCTTGAGAATAAGAACATATTGAAAATGGATCACTATTAACCAACAACACTTTAACTTAATAATTAATGGTAATTTGATTTTGTATCGTTTTGGATATAGCTTGCTTCGTGTTTGTTAATTTTCCAATTCCTTGAGGTTGTCTTCTTGCGTGTTTAAGGTCAGTCGGTTTGACATTCATTCAGGGCTTAGTCTTTGTTTTCCTGAATGTGTTAAATGGTGATATGGTTAATGGTTATGATTCTGTTCAACCCAAAGGGTTTGGTTGAGAGTAAAGATCTTGGGTATTATAACCAAGGTCCTTACTCTTCCCGGGGCCAACTATTTAGGCTGCACACAAGGTTGGTAGAACGACCTTTTTAAGCTTGGGTGAACTGTACCTGATATCAGGAATGTGGGTTTGAATTCGCCTCCGAGGTGACCCCCTACGCGGTTAGTTTTTTTTTTAACGATTCTGTTCTTGTCTAATTGGGAATGAAACTACGATTCAACATGGTAAGGACAGAGCCAGATAGCGTAGATTGAAATTTATTAGGGCTACTACCAAAAGTTAATGAGGAAATTACACATTAGTGAATCTTTTTGGAATAATTAATTTGAAAGTATTTTTACAACTTTTACTGATTTGTTATTTTTCCAAGTTAATTGTCTTAGCATGTGTGAGTCAAAGCATCTCTCGACTTGATAAGACCATCTCTGTCATTTAGGCAAGCTTTAATTTGACATGTTAGTATATTTCCAATCGTTCATGCTATTTTAGCATTGTTAAAATTATTGAAAACAAATTTAAATCTTTCCAAAAGGTGAGACTATTGTGTCTCCATTTTGTGTCTTTATCACAGACTATACTCATCTTTGTCTCTATCTTTTCTCATACGATTCTCTCTTCTCTCTCTCTCTCTACGACTCTCCCTTCTCTATTCCTCTGTCAAGGAGAGTTGGGTTTGGGTTTTCCCCTCTTCCTCTGTTATTCTATTCGTCGGCTTCCTCTCTTCCTCTGTCAATGCGAGTTGGGTTTTGTTACAATATTGAACAAGATCAAAGGAGACCGTGAATCTATTGTTTCTTTTTATTGATTTTTGCTAAATAGATTCATGATTAATTCTTCATTGATCAAAGTGAAGAACTTTTGGTTCAATTTTTTGAAGGATTTTAAAGTATTTTATTAGTTAAAATCAATTTTTTTTGCTGAATAATTTTTCCAAGTGAGCAATTTGAAGATATATATATATATATATATTTTGTGAACTTGCGCTTGTGAGACATCCCACTATCATTTCTTCACTTTTGTTGATTTGCAGAATAATTATTTACACTTGAATCTAATAACAAAATCAAACAAAAACCTTTTGATTTTCATCTCTGTTGTTTATTGTTTGTAATATATAAATGTTTTTTTTTTTTTTCATAAATTTTTTTTTGTTTTTTTTTTTTTTTTTGTTTTTTTTGTTTGGTTTTTTTTTTTTTGGGGGGGGGGGGTGTTATATATTTTGTTCAAATTGTTTCTTGTCTTTCATTTTCTGTTTGGGGGATTTTATTAGGAAAGGGATGGAGGGAAGAAATGCAGTTGGGGATGGTGATGTGGAAGTTTTGGTATTGTTTTAATATAGTAGGCTTTTTAGAGCAATTCCAATGGTCAAGTGGCAGAAAGGATAGCTAATGTTATAATTTAGCAATGTCCAGTACAAAAAAGTTATAGAATAGTAATGTTATTCTAACGGTGAAACTGTTATTTTTTAATTTAACCAAACAACCGATCAGACAATCGGAAGGATGACTAGCCAAACGATCGGTGCGCTTCAAAATTTTGCAACTTAGCACTTTTAGCGACTTCCACCAAGGGGTCGACCACTCGGGCATCCACCGGTCTTCCAAAATTGTCACGCTGACAGCTTTAATTATAGATAAAACTGGTGTCAAATTTGACAGAATATATAATAAAGATATAGTTTAACAGCTCTGATAACTCACTGTTAGATATGAAAAAAGTGACTTCCATACTATTTTCTAGCAATAATAACTATAATTTCACACCGTTAAAGTTGCTTTTAACATGTCACTGGAGAAGGCAATCTTGCCCAAAACTGCTATATTTTTTGGGAATGGCAGCCCCTATACCAACCCACTGGAGAAACTCTCACATTGTTTAAACGTTAAATTCAGGGGAGATTCTAATATACATACATTTGAAAAGGAGGTGCCATATGCACCTTTTAGTAATGTCATTTTTTTTAATAAGGTTAGCGATTTTAAATGTTTTATCGATATTTTTACTAAATATCTCACATGAGTATCGGACCTACATGGGGCCAATATGGTGTGGATTCCAAACTCATGTGAGACATTTAGTAGAAATATTAGTAAAACATTTGGAATTTCTACCATTTTTCTCTTTTTTAAGTTATAATCAATTTTATATTTTAATTATAACTCATAAAATCGTTTAGTCATCGCTAATGTTTCCTAAATTTAGCTTGTGGTTTGTGGTTGTATTTGAATTTGAATTTTTATTTTTATTTTCTTCTAAATTTTCTAGGTTTGTGGTTTATTGGTATACATTTGTTTATGGAATTTGTTGTTTTTGGGTCTGTGATTTTTCTTGGAAAATCATTGGAAGGTAGATGTTGGGTTGGATGATGTGGCAAATTTGCCAATTGCCAATTTAGAAATTTCTTTTGATAATGTCATAATTTGGCACAAGCTATAGCAGACCATTTAGAAAAAAATTCAAAGTCTTGACAATAACAACTCTAATGAATCTATCTCCAACAATACAAAACGAAATAACACTCTTATTTTCAATTTTTTTTTTTCATAAATATGTTATAAAATTTGTCAGTAATATGACAATTATGTTTGACATTATTTTCAATGCATATTATGAGAGAAAATTTTCAAATATACTTGTGAAGATGGAATGTGAAGAATATTTTTCTTTTAAAAAGTGAGCACTTGATAAATGTCAATAAAATCTATTTAAATCATGATGAGCAAAATAATATATTTTGTAACAAAAAATCAAATATGGACAGTAGTGACTTAAACACCGCATAAGCTATAATTAATTTTTTTTGGAATCATAATCAAAATAATAATTGCAATCAATTATAATTTAATCATATGAAACACAACCAAAATGGGGTGTGATGATTCCATAAATTTTTATAGATGGAGTCACCCTACAAACTTAAGTTCTAAAAATTTTATGAGAACAAAAATAAATAAACAATGTTCACTCTGTTTGATTTTTAGTTTTGAAAAAAAATTGAATTTTTTATTTTTCATGTTTTGTTGTCTTTAGAATTTTTCTCTCATATTCTAGTGATTTTTTTTATTCTTAAAATGCACCTAATCTAGATGTACCTGCCACGCAAAATATTTGTGAAAAAATCTATAAAAAAATTTAATAAATATTTTATTTTTTAAATGTATCTAGATTAAGAGGATTTAAAAATTAAAAAAAAATAAAAATAAAAAAAATAAAAACAAAAAATGAAAAATATTTTTAAAAACTGTTAACCAAACAAAGTGAATTAAACTTTTCAAACAGTAGCTCTCTAATGGTTTTAGACTCTATTTGATTGGTCCCTTATTTTTTAATTAGATTAAACTATATTAAATAAAATATTAATAATATAAATATTCTTTTTTAAAAGGGCTTTTTGTGGTGTTTTGGGAAGTTAGTAAAAAATTGGTTTTTTTTGGCTTTTTTGGCAAAAAACTGGGTTGTTTTGGGTAAAAAAAAACTGATTTTTTTTGGCTAAAAAGCCAAAAAACTGACTTTTTACCATGGTTCCCAAAACACCTTGCATGATGGGTTCATGGGACCCCATCAATTCTAAGGTGGAGTCGCTCAGGGTGTACTATAGAATTTCTCAATGTTAATAATTTATATGCTTATCACTAAAAAATAGACTTGTATATCATTTTTTATTCATAATTATTGTGTTTGATTAGGCTAATCTATTATGATATGAAAAACAAATAGGATGATAATTTTAAATCTTGTTATAATTTTTAATTTTTAAAAAATATATTAATAACTTCGTATAAATAGAATAGAAACCATAAAAAATATATAGAATTTGAAGGCAATCATAAGTTTCTAGCTATGCTCTACAATCATGTTTTATTAAAATTAAAAGAATTTCTCATGAAATTAATACAATGAAATTTAAAAATAATAATTTAGGGTTTATTTGGTTACAAGGATCAAATTCTGGAGTTGTGTGTTTTTTTTTTGTAATTTCTCCCACCATTTGTATAAACTCATTACATGCATGGCTTCAAAACTTAAATAATTTCATAGTGCCTTAATTATAAGAAAATTACCACCTATTAATCACAACAATTCATAACATGGGTAAGATCTTACCCCTAGCAAGAAGATGATTACACCAAGACTAAAAAGTACACCAATAGCAAACTGAAATGGATAGAAAGCTAGCCCTTGACAAGTTCTACAATGTTAATTCTTTATTTGAAAATCAAATCTTCTTCTAACTAGCTTGAATTCCACAAGTTTGCTTCATAAATGTGTAAAAAAGAAGAAAAGAAATATAGAGACAAGGAGAGTGAATAAGAAGAAGAGAGAGGATGAAGGAAAGCTATTCTATTTGTGGATAGGAGTGAAAGGAATATATGTATACATAAGCTGGTCGTGTGACACACCACACTCACATGACTGCACTTGTGGCCGGACACTGAGACCTACGGATGCACAGTGCAAGACAACCCAGTTACCAGTCCACAAAACACACAATTTGGTAACTCAAAACCCAATGACAGATATACAAAACTAGCAAGCAATATGAAACAATCTAAGGATGAAAAAATTGTAATGTAGAACAAAAAAAATCATGGTCAGAATCCTACAACTCGTGCAACCCAACGAATTCAAACACTATAATACGAGACTTGACTATCGAAATGAAATCGGGTATAAGACCCTAGTTATCACAATTTTGGTGTGTATGATTTGTGAAATGAAGCAAGATGGATCTGGACCCTTGGGTGAAAGACCCAAGAACATGGCCAAGATTTGTTAATGGGTCCCTTCACTTGGTAGCTCTGATTTGAAAGTTGCCTTGATATTATAGAAAAGCCCTAATTTTGGAAAAAAAAAAAATAAAAAAAAAAAAATATTGGTTGAGTATTGAGAGTGCTTTTGAGAGAGAGAGTGAGGCTTGTGTTCCGTGATGATGTGAATAAAGTTTGTCCTACACTACTAAAATTTTAACTTTTTACGACGGTAAAATACTGTCGCTAATACTCTTAACGCCGTCGTAAAATTTTTTTTACGACGGCAAATGACTTTTTGTGACGGCAAGAGGGGGCCGCAACTGGGGGCGTTACAAAAGAGTTTTTGCAACGGCACAGTGCCGTCGTTAATGTTTTGCGACGGCACTTTGCAATCACTAATAATGTTTGAAATTTCTTAACTTTTTGCGATGACACCATTTTACTGTCGCTAAAAATGATATTTGAGACGGCAAAAAATGCCGTCACTAATAGTCTTTTTTTTGGCAACGGCAAGAACACTATTTTTGCAACGGTGTGGTGCCGTAGCAAAAAGTATTAAAAATATGAAAATTTCTATTTTTGTGACAGTGTACTGCCGTCGCAAAAAATATTAAAAAAACAATAAAATTTCTATTTTAAATAATAAAATTTCTATTTTTTGCGTCAGTTTAGTGCCGTCGCAAAAAGTAAAATCTGTAACAAAATCAATAAAAATATTAAAATATTCAGCTTTTTGCGACGGTGTAGTGCCGTCACAAAAAAGAAAAAAACATCATGCGATAAAATAATTAAAAATATTAAAATTTCTCCATAATAATTGCATAATAATATAAAAATTTATGTATAAAAATAACAATTTCTCCACAATAAAATATTCTTCCATTCATAATTACACATCAACAAAATTATCCCACTACATAATGTTCTATAATACATATATAATGTTTAAATAGATGATTTTGTTTATAATTCAAAATAACATAAACCAAAATTAAATATTTTTCTCATCATTCTTTGTAGATAACAAAAACAAAAGTTAGCCACATTCTCCACGGGCATGCATTCCACAAGAAGCACACTCATATATGGGAAATATCTGAAAAATAAAAATAAAAATAAAAATAATTAATGACAATATAATTATGTGTTAATGTTAATTACAAAAAAACATAAAAATTTAACTACTATAACATCAAATACAACATTTTTTTTGTTAGTCATCAAATCCCACATGGATAATTAAACATCTCAATCAAATACAAAAATAAAAATTTAACTACTATAGCATCAAATATAAAAAAACATAAAATTATATCTGAAATCTGGCTCTAACTCCCAACAACATCAAATACAACATTTTTTTTGTTAGTCATCAAATCCCTCATGGATAATTAAACATCTCAATCAACAATGAGAACAGATGCATTTCTGAGAAAATTAAGCAATGGAAATAAGTTATGACACCTTCAAAGAAATGTCAGCCTTCTAGTATCTATACAAAAGTTCATCATCCTTCAATTAATTGACATATACGCATATATTATGTTTGTACACATAAAGGTGTAGATATATCCTAGACCGAGCTATATGCTACACAACAAAATGTAAACCTCTAGACCTATATACAACAGGTATTTTATTCGTGGAGTTCCATAACTATGTTAATTTGTGGTTAAGCAAGCTCCAAATGCTCTTTTGGAAGAATCAAATTTTTATACATTACTCAAAACGGACTTCTTAAAAACATAGTTCTTTCTAATGTTGTAACTACAACCCTTTATTCATCAAATAGAGGTTAATATACAACCTTTAAATAAGATGACAATTAAAAAAAATGAAATAAAAGACCTAGGAACAAGCAAGGAAGATTTTTAACCCCCAACAACACGTTTGATGGGATCAATTTGTAATGTCTCTAATGAACGCAATGATAATTTCAAATTTAAATTGCTTTAAACATCAATCAGTGAGTCCAGATCAAGTTTAAACGAAAATTTAAATTGAAGAAACAAAACCACTTACAAACTTCAGAAGGCTATATCACATTTTTTTAGATAACAGCAGCGAAAAAAAGAGGAAATACCATGGAAACTAGGGGTGTCCGCGGTTCGGTTTGGGACGGTTTGCGGTTCAGTTTGTACCCGCCCGCATCTATGCGGTTTGGGGAAAAGTCAACTCGCAACCGCCCGCAATGTGGTTTGCGGTTTGTGCGGATAGGGTTCGCGGATGTGCGGGCGGTTGCGGGCGGTTTGCGGATTGAATAACAGATTTAATAGATTTAAATAACAGACAGATTTAATAACAGATTTAATTCAATAGATTTAATTCCAAAAGTTAACTAATTGAATCAAATTAAATCCAAAGAAACAGATTAATAACAGATTCAATTTCAGATTATATATCATACAGATTTAAACTGTTTATTCCAAAATTTCAAATTCAATTTCAGATTATATAATAGATTCAATTTCAGATTAAATATCAATTTCAGATTTAATCTGTTTTTTCCAAAATTAAATATCATACAGATTCAATTTCAGATTTAGATTCAGTAACAGATTAGATTCACCTCCAGAGATAAATTCCAAAGAAACAGAGATAAATAACCAAAATACAGGATCTTTAGTCCAAATAGAATTTCTGTTAAAACAGATTAGATTCACCTCCAGAGAATTTCTGTTAACCAAAATACAGGATCTTTATTTAATCTATCTAACCAAAAATTTAACAAAATAGATTAAATCAATTTTATTTTGTTAAATTTGTGATGAGATAAATCTATTTTGCAGTATAATACATCCCCTTTTAGAGGTATAAATTTTTCTCATCACAAATTTCCACCTGGTTAGATCTGGAAATTTCATTAGATTTTTCTCAAATCTACAGAGATCATTCTTTTTCTTGCTCAGTGATGAGAAGTCAGGCATTTTATTATGATTTCCAAAGAAACAGATTAGATCGGTCCAAAACAAATAAACACACAAATTTCCAAAGAAACACACACAGATTCAACGATCTCTGATATATATATATATATATGTTGTAAAAAAAATCAACGATCGGGGCGAGAGAGAGAGACAGAAATTGAGAGACAGAGAGGCTTACCTGTGAGTAGATCGGTGCGATGAGAGAGTGAGATGATCGGTGCGATGAGATGAACAACGAGAGAGTGAGAGAGACAGTGATGAGATGAGAGTGATCACCGATCGGCGCAGAAGATGAAGATGAATGAACAACGAAATGAGAGAGTGAGAGAGACAGTGGTGAGATGAGATGAGACAGAGAGTGAGGACAACGATTAGATTAGGGTTTTTTGTTTTGTTGTCTATAGATGAGGTGAGTGTGTGAGATGGTGAGATCATGAGATGGACGGTTAGATTTGAAAGAGGAGAAAAAAAAAATTAATTTAATGCGGGCGGGTTGGGCGGGTGCGGGACAAACCCGCAACCCCACCCGCAACCCGAAATTTATATAAAATTCAAACCGCACCCTATCCTAATGTGTTTGCGAAACCGCCTACATGCGTGCGGTTCGGATAACCCTACGCCCAGCCCTAATGGAAACAGATATCTCTCCACCAAACATCTCATCCGAGGACACCGCAAAGACGATCCGCGGTTTTAAAAACCTTTCCCATAAGAATATATTTTCCATTCAATTGCAATCAACACATCCTGATTCAGCACATTAAGAAATTTCCTTATTGTCGTCAAATAGATTACTAAATGACATGGGGACAATAGTAATACATACCAGGTATAGTGGTGTGTAAGACATGCTCTTTTGACAGAAATTCCAAAAAGAAAAACAACAAAAAAATTCGACACATAATTTCCTCTTCAAGTTATCACAAATGTTAGTAGTGGCAAATCAAAGATGTTGAAACTTGGGGTTGTCAATGGTCAACACATAGAAAAAGCAAACATAATGTTTCTAAATGTTTGAATGAACATATGATATCTCATAAAATAAAACTTATGTATATGTTGTCCTTGTACCATAAATTACAAATTAATCCACTTCACTGAAAAAACAAGAACAATAAAGTTATCTTTTTGTCACTTGGGAGATAAAATCTTTGATAGCATCTGGAAGCCAAGACAGTTGCACATTGGAAAATTTTGAACCTTGTAACCCATTGGTTTTGATTTTTTCGAACCCATGTTCGTTAAGAAAAGTTCTTACTTACAAGTCATTGTCTAAGACATACCTGTCTCACAGTCAGCACAAATCAAAAGAAACAACTCCAAAAAAATAATAATAATAAATATTTTTTTAAAAAAAACACAGGAGTATGGATAGCATTTCATGGAAGCTGAAATGATTAGAAACTTCAGTGAAGTACCATATGGATAGCATTTCACAAGTATCTATCTTTGCTTTCAATGTGAAATATAAATTTGACTTTTCTAAGACAGAATGAGCAACAAAGGAAGAGAAAAATACAAACTACCTCTTTGAGGTGCCATTCCCAAATGTGATTGAAAGAGATGATATAATAAAGCAAATATATTGTCTTTATCAAACAAATAATAAGAATCATAATATTTGCTGCAATGAAAAGACAATGACATTAACCTTTATCCCAGCATCCCTCTTTAGCCTTTTGCCCTGTAGAAACAACAACTTCGAAAGGAAGAGGTGCTTAAGAATAGGGTCTGCCCTAGTCATAGAAGGGGAAGCTATACTCTCTCATCTCCTTAATCATCCAAACAAGTGATGAAGAGATCTCTTTCTCTCTATTTCTTTTCTTTTCTTAGCAAACTTCTCAATCCAAACAGACAGTTAAAAAGGTAACACAAGTCGTTGAATAAACATATTTAGAATACTACTTTATGACGACCAGTGAATTACTACTTCACGACAACCTCACATGGGTAGCACAATCAAAGTCATAGCAATATGCTTGCAATAACAAGTCAAAAATACTTTACGACTTCATATCCAACAAAACTCAAATTATTCCATTTACTTTCATGTCAGTCTTTTTTTTTTTAGTAAGTGCATGTCACAGAGTCAATATTGGGTGGTAAAAATGTTGGATAAGCCTTTGGACTTTCCTTCATGTTCTAGATTATGGTGCATCACATTCAAGATAAATTATTTTCCATTTTCAACAGAACCCCAATAGAAAATCTTAAACATGATTAAAGAAACTGTTATCATAATCTCAAAAAAGAGACTACAAAAAACTTGAAATATTTTCAGGAAACTTAAATTAATACAAGTATCATAACTCATTTTTGGAGTTTCATGAAACTTATACATGAGTTATTTTAATTTTGTATTTATTTGCTATTTCCTAAATATACGCCCAACCTGTATACAAGGCTTGTGACCCGTTGGAACCTTTTAGTAAAAATCTTGACTTGACTGAAAAAAGAAATGATTCATACAATATGCACACAATGGTTCCTTATATACTAAGTTATATCATAGTTTCAGTTTCGCATTTACAACACAGTTAAATCATCTGATAGAGAAGCATAAAGGAGATACAAAATGAGGCACAATACAACAATCCTTTTAGAATCAAATACAAACATAAACCATCTGATAGAGAAGCATAAATGCCAAAGGATACCTTCAAATACTCACTATATGCAAATTATCACAATGCTGAATCTTAGGCAGGTTTCACAAATAAACATCCAATGTAATGTCAAAGGGCATGAATGAAGAAATACTCACCCCCCACCATCCCGGCTAATTAAGAATTGAGTGGACCCACCACCAAAGAACAAACAGGGCATAGGCACCAAAACATACATGAGAGCTGCAAGAACAAGTAAAAATCACATTTTTTCTTAGAGATCTCTTCATCACTTGTTTGGATGACTAGGGAAGACCCTATTCTTAAGCACCTCTTAGCTTCATCACTTGTTTATTAGAGATCTCTTAGCTTCATCACTTGTTTTGGATGACTAGGGAAGACCCTATTTTTCAATTTATTAGAGATCTCTTCATCACTTGTTTGGATGACGAGGGAAGACCCTATTCTTAAGCACCTCTTAGCTTCCCCTCCCAGTATGTTATTTCCCCTATGTTTTATGCATATAATGCCTCAAAAAAACAACATTTTTTCATATAATTAACATTTTAATTTTTTTTTTATCTTTTACTTATTCACTAAGAGCATTTATTACTAGCAAAATCATACTTTTTTGATTTTTTGTCAATTAACAAACACTTCAATACACAGATTAATGTGCGTGTGTGTGTATTAGCTTTGGGGGAACTAAGAAAAGTTGTAAAACCTAGGGCATCAACATAGATAATGGGGGTATTTCAAAATTTTGATAAACTGAATTGGAAGTCAAACATGAACTAATGCATATATGTATGTATGTATGTATGTATAAACGTGTGTGTGTGTGTGTGAGAGAGAGAGAGAGAGAGAGAGAGAGATGAGTAAATAGTAAAGAAAGAAAAGACATAAGAGATGTTGAGGTGGCGGAAGAGGAGGCCGATGCTGCTGCTGCTCCAATGCTGCTGCTCCTCCTCCTCCGACGTTGCTCCGACGCTGCTCCTCCACCGCTCGCCGTCGATCGAGAGAGAGAGAGAGGGGGGTAAGAAGAGATTAGGGATTTTTGGGTTTGAGATTGGGGATTTTTTGTTTTAGGGGGGGGGGGAGAAGGGAGCGGGAAGGGAAAAAAAAAGGGGACGGGAATAAAAAATAAAAAATATTTTTTTTTGGTCAGAAATGAAATTTAAATAACAAAATAATGCCGTTTAACTCTTATTATTTTTTTATTTTTTTTTTGCGACGGGGGTTGCCGTCGTCAATTTTTTTTTTATTTTTTGTTAAAATATATATATTTTTTGTAGTTAATGAATTTTTTTAAAAAAATTTCTTTTTTTTTTAGTTACTAAGATTGAAAATTTATTTGTTTCATTTTTATTTTAATGAAAAAAATATTATTATTATTTATTTGGTAGAAGTAGGGGTAATATTTTAATGAAAAATATTTTCCACTAAAATAAAAGTTAATTTTCTGCGGTTAATGAAAAATATTTTTCTGCGGCCCATTTTTTTTGGTTATTAAAAATCATGAACTAATTTTTTGTGGCGGAGGAGAGGGAGCGACAGTAGTGGTGAAGGTGGTGGATAAGAGATGATGGTGGTGGTGGTAAGGAGATTAGTGGTGAAGTTGTGGTAGTGGTAGAGTAGATGGAGTGACAGGGGTGAAGGAGAGGTAATGGTAGTAGTAGTGGTAGTAGTGGTAGTGGTGGTAGTAGAGTGGTGACAATGGTAGTAGTAATGGTAGTCGTAGAGGTGAAGTGACGACAGTGGTAGTAATTGTGGTAGTGGAATGGCGTTTGCAGTAGTGGTGAAGGTGGTAAAGGAGATGGGTGGTGAGAGAGAGAGATATGAGTGAGAGACAGATAGAGGAGAGAGATACAGAGTGATGAGCGAGAGAGAGACAAAATGGTCGCTAAAAGTATATTTTCTTGTAGTGGATAGATAAATCGAGAGGGAGCTCAGTAAATAGAGAAGATGGAAGGGAGAGAGTGAGCAACGCGAACACAGTGGGAGAGAGAGAGAGAGAGAGAGAGAGAGAGAGAGAGAGAGATAAAGAGATAGAGAGTGAGAGACAGAGAGAGAAGAGAGATGAACAAGAGAGACATAGAGAGAGAGATAGAGAGAAGATAGATGAGCGAGAGAGACATAGAGAGAAGGGAGATGAACGAGAGAGACAGAGAGAGAGATAGAGAGAAAAGAGATGGGTGAGAGAGACAGAGAGAGATGAGAGATGAACAAAAGAGACAGGGAGAGAAAAGAGATGAGAGAAGAGATAGATGAGTGAGAGACACAGAGAGAGAGAGAGATAGACAGAGAGAGAAGAGTGATGAGTGAGAGAGAGAAAGAGAAGAGAGTGAGGAAGATGAAAAAATGGGTGAAAAGATATAGACAAAGAGAGAGAGAAAAAAAGAGCGAAAAGTGATAAACGAGAGAGAGACAGAGAGAGATGAGCGAGAGAGATAAAGAGAAGAGAGAGAGAAGAGAGACAGAGAAACAAGAGAGATGAGAGAGATAGACAGAAGAGAGATGGACAAGAGACATAGAGAGAAAGAGAGAAAGAGAAAGAGACAGACAGACAGAGAAGGGTGATGGGTGAGAGAGAGAAAAAAAAGAGAGACAGAGACAGAGACACAGAGAGAAAGAGAGAGATAGACAGACAGAGAAGAGTGATGGGTGAGAGAGAGAGAGAGAGAGAGAGAGAGAAGAGAGATAGAGACAGAGACAGAGACAGAGAGATAGGAGGATGAAAAAATGGGTGAAAAGAGAAATGTTCAAAAGAGTAAGACGACGTCGTTTTTTTT